TTTCCTCAAAGTTTAAGCAGATTTCGATGCTAGACATTGCTTGTATGGCGATCAAGTCCCGACCAACAACAAAGGCAAGATCCTTGCAAATGCCATCAATGCCAGCAGTTTTAATGTTTTAAATAATGGTAATACTACCTTTCACTTTAACCGGAGTGGTCGCACTGCGAGCAGTGTCTTGGATCTAACTTTTTCTAATTCGACTATTGTATCATTCAACTAGAATACGACTAACGTCTCAATTAGCAAAAGTCAGCACTCCCCCATTTTATTTCGCGGTCGCACCAATTCCGTTAAAAAAATAGAAAATTTCATTTTACGCAACTTCCTTATGGACCGTCTGTACAAAATGGATCCTCCTTCCGGTTTGTCAACAATTCAAAGTGCTTTTCAGCCTGTGATCACGTCTGTTAGAAGCAACTTTTGTGATATTGAAGTCTGCAGTTAAAAAGGCGAAAAGGACACATAGAGCCATCATGATTAAAGAGTTATGTGGCAATTGCAACTCGCGTTTTTTCTGGAATTACATTAATGGTCATTGACATTTTAGTCGAAAAGTAAATGGTGTGGAATGACAATCATAATTGCCATTTCCTCGGCAGTCCCCTCCTATTCATTTGAATTTCCAACTACTTCCGACGTTGAATTTATCGCCATTCGAGTGAAATTTCCTAATAAACACTTATATGTGACCTGCTCCTTTATTCCCCCAAGTTCCGATATGTCAGTATATACGAAACAGGCTGCCCTCATTTGTGAAGTGGCCAAGCAATCTAAACCTACCGATATAGTCATTGCGTTGGGTTACATCAATTTGCCTCAAGTCACTTGGTGTTACATCGATAGTTTTGGCTGTTTGATTCCTACCTCAACATCTGGTAGAGCCGCTGTGTTCTTTAATGAATTATTTAATCATAATTTAGCTCAATATAATGGTACTTCTAATTGCAATAGTAGATTGTTTTATTTTTGCTTTGCCAATTTTCTTGAGATTTGCGTTAATCGTTGTCTTCCGTTTAGTTTACCTGAGGATCCATATCATCCAGCATTGGGTATTTCCTTTCATTACAAGCATGTTGGTTCGTTGAACTTCTATAACGTTCCAAATTCAAATTTTTCATATAAATTTTATGATTTCCATAAAATCTGTTTCCATGCTAAAATCACATCTTTCTCTTGATTTCTCAGTGGGAGTGTCGTCGTTCTACAATATATTAAATCAAGCTATTTCTGCATCCGTTCCGATCAAGCAGTCCCGTCCTCGAAGCAAGTGTCCCCCGTGGTTTAATAAAATAATTAAATATTACAAGTACAGGAAAAACAAGCTTTTCAACAAATTTTCGAAAAGTGGTTCTTTTTTCGACTATTTCGCTTACTCAGTGGCAAGGCATAAATTTAATTCCCTCAACCGCCAATACTAGTGCAGATGCCTTCAGTTTGTTAAATCCTCCTTGTTCGCTAATCCTAAATACTTGTTAAGTTCGTTAATTCCAAAGGAAAAAGCGCCATAAATCCCTCGCATGTGTCTTTTAATGGCTCCGAGTCCTCGGATGATTTTGAAACCTCAAATCTCTTTGCGGAATACTTCCGACAGAACTTTTCAACTGGCAATTTTGAATTATCAGCAAACTATCCATATCCGATTTCTAATTTGATTTCAATTCCTAACTGTGTTATATCTGAAAATGACGTTTTTGAAGGATTGAGCTCTCTAAAATATAATTGTTCGCCTGCACCTGATGGAATCCCCTCATGTATACTTATATTTTGTGCTGGCGAGCTATGTGGTGTTATCTCAAAGATTTTTAACAAGTCCTTGAATTTAGGTGTTTTCCCTTTGTGTTGGAAGACTTGTTTCCTTATTCCTATTCACAAACGTGGTAGTAGGCAACTTGTAGAGAACTGCAGAGGCATTGCCAAGTTGAGTGTCTTGCCTAAACTGGTCGAGCGAATTGTGGCTCAGCATATAGCCTTTTCCATGAAACCGTATATTTCTTCTCTCCAACATGGTTTTTGAAAGGGAAGATTTACGGTCACCACTTCTTTTTTACTTCTCATGTTTTCAAGGCTTTTTCTAGTGGCTCTCGCACTGATGTTATATACACTGATTTAAGCAAAGCGTTTGGTTAACCATAGACTACTTATCTTTAAACTCCCAGCCTCTGGCTTACCTTTCTTCTTAGTGGAATGGTTAAGCTCTTATCTGCATGGTAGCTCATTCAGGGTTTTATTTAACCTCGTTATCTTGGATGAATTCCCCGTGACGTCTGACGTACCTCAAGGTAGCCCCTTAGGACACATTTTATTTAATTTATACATCAATGATTTGCCCTCCATGATAAAATTCGGCGAGATCTTAATGTATGCTGATGATGTGAAACTGTGTTCTTCCTTTTCCGTAGAATCGCAATCACATCATCTTCAAAGTGATTAGAATGAAAGGAAAAAAGTAACATTGCGTAAATGTATGCCTATAAAAGCCTCCATAGAAATTTCATTTATTTCTCTGGGAGTATTATCTTATCATATAATTATATTATTCTTAATTTTCTAGCTGTGGAATATGAATGTTCCTCGGTCGTCGCCTAGCCGATTTAAATGGTTTGTATCTATAAATAAACTTTGTAAATTTTATGTTCGATGCATTATAGTTTACGTTGAACGGCTCTTGTTGGTAAAACATCCCATCTTTCAGATATGATGCCCGATTTTCTTTTGTACCTTCGACATTGGTTGACAGAAGTACGAAGGCATTCAAGTGATTAATTGTAGATTATGATGATTATTTGTTATGCGTATATAGGCACATATTGTTTTTTTTTCGTAGGTTCGATAAATTACAATGTCAACCATCGTATGGAAGGTAGAGGCATGGACGCGGAGGACTGGCATATCGCTATTATGGTCTGGCGGTGAGCACCGGCACATCTTGTGTCTCAATCTGAAATTAAATAGAAATAAGTAAATAAGTAAATAAGTTATAAATAACAATGAGTAAAGATAAATGCAAACTTATCTTTGGAATATAACATGGACACCCAATAGGGATCATACATACTCGGCGTCTCATACGTACTCGGCTTAGTTGGTATACTTTTATTCATATTAGTTGTACCAGTTCGGTTAGTCATATCGGTCAGTTTAATTTCCCCCTCTACGTCGCTGCCGCAGTCGTTTATCGTCACGTTTATCGTCTTCCAAAAGTTCGTCTATCAGTGTGAGTCTAGGTTTGTTGGTTCCATCAAATCCAATGAAGTCTGCTGTCGGTTTGTCATTGCGCTGAGTTTGTTTACTTATTACCTCAATGGCCCGCTTATACCCTAATTTACACGCATACCATAGGTAGATGGTGTACAATGTGTGGCGGACGGACGTTTCTGTTGGTCCCTCCTTTTCCAGGCGCTTTTAGTTGCGTCGGACCCTCTGCAATTTCCATCGGACCTTCTCCACTGTAACGACCATACCGAACTTCTTACTCAGTCTCTCAATTATCCCCTTAAAGTCCCCCCTATTGGTTTTCCCGGAAATACCCCACAATCTCGGATAGCCGCACAACAGTCCGCTAAAAATGCCGTTCGGTATGTATACCAATCACTACGATGAAATTGAATAATTTTGAGCTTGCAAGAAATAAAATCAAATTATCGCTTTGAGAAAATTGCGAAAAGCGTAGAGTTTGAAATTTCCCATACAAAGAAATTAACGAATAAACTTGGGCTTCTTAAAAATTCCAATCAATCTATCAGGCGTAATATGTGTGTGTAAATTACTTGGTTGCGAAGCAGCAAAGATCAATTTTTTTATGTTCATCTAGTTGGGTAACTCTTTATTCTATTTTTAAGACAAATGTTTAGAAATTCTACGATAATGTATGTTGTTTTCAACAATTCTAAAATCGTCCCATGTTATGTTTGCTTATAAAAAGAAATCAAAGTTTTTGTTTTAATTCTAGTAGGATAGAACGATTGATTAACTTTCAAAATATTAATTTGAATCTGATTTATTTACATTAATTGAATGGTAAAATCCGTATTCTAAATTTTCTTTTAATAGCCATTTAAAAATTATTTTTTCTCAGCCCTTTCCCAATTCTTCTTAGCATTTCCACCCACTTTTAAACGTTTTCGTGCTTCAACGAATTGTTCCAAATCATCGACGTCGGCAGCATCGCCCTTTTTAAAACATTTACTCTTGGATTGCTCAATATTTTTAAGTTCCACTTTAGCCATACGCTGAGACTCGCTGCCACGTTCTTGTAAAGCCTTTACTTGGTCTTGGTCGCTTTTGCAAAAAGGCGCAGCAATTAGGTGCAGCATAGTCCATAAGTGCAGCGCTGCAGCTATGCGTACCGCCGTCGTTAGATGCAGCGCAGTCGCTAGGTGCAGCGCAGTCGCTAGGTGCAGCGGTGCAGCGCAGTTGTTAGGTGCAAAATATTGAAAGTTCCTACACGGGGGTTGGTACTGAAAATGGATCAAATCGGTTGGAGGGCACGCCCACAGCACCACGTACAATAGACCTGTTTTTCAAAATAAATAAAAATTGATTTTTTGCTCACTAATTTTAATCATAATCTATTGCCGGTAAATGTACAAATGCGATGCTTTAGTACTCGTACAAAAATATTATGTTAAATGCGGAAGTTTTTTCAAAGTCCCATAAAAAAATTCTCCGGACAAAACTTACAATAACTTGCACATCGTTGGAAAGGCTATTAATAGAGGATTCACTATGTGTCAGTTTCATTTTTTCACAGGATATGATTTGGCCACAGTGGCTACGCAAAGTTTCGCCTTATCAACTCCGTTTATGAAATGGTGTAAAAATGTTGTCCTTTCGAATATTAATTAATTTACATAAAGTCATGTTCTGCTTATAATATTTTGCAAAAAAATTCTCGAATTCTGGTAACGGCCTTACAGAGCTCCGCAAAGGAAAAATGATTTGTGTCTTTATTAGCTACATTAAATATAACTTCACATCCTTAGCAGCAAAAATTTGCCACAACAAATTTCTTCTATAGTTTACAAAAATAAGGTACTAGAAATAGAAAACTTAAAACGTTATTTGTTTTTGTTGCCTTTTTATAAAAATAATTTTTCTTATGCTTACGTTAACAAAAGTTATTTTTGTGAACATACCACAATAAACAAAAAAAAAAAAAACAATAAAAAAATTTAAAAAAGTACACCTGCCCTAAGAGGAGTTCTTGACATTCACATTCTTAGGTTATTCGTTCATAGAAGAATATCTTGAAAATTTCTTCTTTTCTGCTGTTGCGGCACAAAACTAGGATCGTACCTAAGTTGAAGTTTCCTTATTTTAATTATCGTAAAAATCAAATGGAGGATTATACCAGCCCAATTAACCCTTCTAACAATATTTCATTCGCAAGTTTTACATATAAAAACCGAAATTTTGTATTAATTATTATGAAATCTTCTAGTTCGCAGCTTTTCTCCTAGGCGTTCAATAGTACATTTACTGAAATCGATCACAAATTTTCGCTAATTCACGTGAAATTGGAAAATTTTCGTAATTTTTTTTCGATTATGTGATATAATCTCAAAAGAAAAGCGAACAAATGTATGAAATTTGAAATTCATTACTTAGACCTTACGTATTTTAAATTCAGATCGAATTTTTCCCTATGGATCGAAGCATGTCGTTCTGTACCATGCCTGTACTACATCTCCCGATGGGAAATAATTGGAAGGGATTGAAGGGCAGATACCCTCACAAAACAAGCCATGTGAAAAATGGGAAAAAAAGGGAAAAGAACGTCTGAAGTGTTCGGAAAGCAAAGAGTCGTTGAAACTGATGGAAGATGAACGTTTTAAAGTCATAGATGCTGAAAAGTTTCAAAGCGGAAAAAAGAAATCAAAATCCAAACTAGATAAACAGTCTTCAAGTGAAGTTAAAAAACCCCTAAAAAATCGATGAACGTTTTCAACTTTCTTCGAGCAAAAAAGACAATAAAACCACGTCATTTAAAATTAAAAATAGCAAAAAAATAGAAACCTCTTAAAGATGAAAATTGAAATAAAAATATTTTATTAAAATTTTTTTATTTATTTCTCTTGTTCTTCTCAACTTTATTATCATTTTAATAAATTTTATTTGAATTTATTGTAATTAAAATATCATTTGTTTTGTTTTTTAATGTGTCGACAATTTTTTTTCTCTTCTATTTCTTCGTAATGGCTGCAATCGTAACTTACCGTTCAAAGTAACACTTAATTGTTAATTAAAATTTTATTTTCAATAATCTTAAGAGAGTAAATGATTGTCGATGTTGAATTTCTATAATTTCAAGACACCTTTTTTTTAATTTCACAATTTATGGAAAACTCTGGTTTTCTAAATTTTTTTTCTTTTTTCGCTACCACCACACCTCAAAAATTAATTTGAATTATATTATTTGTTTCGCAACCGTCAGATTTGACATTTGAATTTTTTCGCGAATATCCTCTACCATGAAAAATACCCCCGACGGCAAACATTTCATACTTCGTAAATATCCTAGTCATCACAACTAGATCTCGATTATCGAGAGGTTTCAGAACTCGTTCTATCTTTTGGTTGAACTTTTTCATGTCTTGACTCGCGCATTGTTCCCCAATTTCTTTTAGCTCCAAGTCATATAAGAAATTTTCAACGCCCTTACTGCCGCCTGCTATGAGATTAAGAATTATTATTATTATTATTATTATTGTAATTATAGACTAATGAAATAAATTCTTACACTAAAAAAAAAAGACATTGAGAACTAGCAGCACAGGCTTACGGCTCTAATATAAATAAATGTACATTAGATAATGAGCTTAGTAGTATTAATAAAGTAATATATAGAATTTATATTCGGTTCTGAAGCTGATTTTAGAATGTCCAAAAGGTTAGTCGCTCCAAATGCAATACTTCTAGCTAAGGAAAACTTAAGGCAGTCGCAAAGAATGTGCTTTATAGTTAGAGTTTGTCCACAACTGCAGATTGGGGAGGAAGACTTCTTCAAGATCCATCGGTGAGTTGCGATAGTATGACCAAGGTGAATTCTCGAAAATGTTTGGATCTTGGTTTTCTCAACGTTTGTTGGATATAAAGGTGGAATTAATTGAGGGTTAATGGAAGAGTAGTGTTGATGATGGTATTGTAAATTTCCTTCTGCAATTTTCACTTTAACTTTTCTCCCAGTGTATCTTTGACGATCCAACTTTTCCATGACGTCATCCATAAATAAAGGAGCAGAAGCAGCACACTTTGCCGCTCGATCAGCCTGCTCATTTCCTAATAAACCGATATGACTTGGTACCCATAACATATTAGTTTTTCCGTCGGGTGTAGTAATTATATTCCTTAATTTGTTGACGGTGCTCCATCTCAAAGTCGAAGGGTTCCGGGTAGCTTGTAATACAGACAAACTGTCAGTAACAATGACGGTTTTGAGTTTGCTTTTATGGGCCAGGTTCGCAGCGTGAAGGATAGCTCTGTCTTCGGTTGTGAATGTTGAAGTACTTTCGTGAAAAATATAATTGAGAAGAACCTGTCCTGTAGCATCTACCACGGCACAAGCAGAAGGCAGATCAGAAGATTTTGAGCCGTCTGTGTATAAAAGATACCAACCAGTCTCTCTCTTGTGTTTTTTCAGCTATTAGATTCCTGAAGACGTAATTTGGAATACCTTCTTTTTTGTGCACAGAGAGCGAAATGTCAAAAGAGCAGTCTTCCAAAATCCATGGAGGGTTCACACCAAAAGAGCGGAAAATTTTTAGGGGAATATTTAATTCCTTTGTGACGTACAAACAATGGTCAATTGCAGATGGTGACTTTGGAATTTTCTTCGCAATAATAATCTTTCTCACGCCATCACCGAGAATGGATTTGTTTGAATTAAGAAGCTTGAGGACTATTTTAGCTTTTAGCTCATACAGTCTATTTTCTAAAGTTGGGAGACCAGTTTCAATTATAATATTATTTATGGGCGTCGTCCGAAAAGCGTAACAACTTGCTCTGACGGCTTGGTGATAGACCGGTTTAAGGATGTTGATATTAGATTTGCAGCTATTGCCATAAATTATCAAAGCATAGTCGATCTTGCTTAACACAAGCACTTTGGTAAGATAAGCAATAGTGTTAATAAGCGCATGGCTTCTCCAAGCAACGCACTGTATGAAATTCACCCTTGTTAAAATAAAATTTTTTAACCAAAGACAGTGTGCTTTCCAACGATGTTTATTGGAAAACGTGAGCCCGAGAATATGCAGCGTCTGCACGTTTAGTACCAGTGAGCCAGTCAAAAATACCGTATTATATGGGTCCAGCAACTTCTTTTTACTTGAATTAGACAGCGCACTGATCATTTGGTAGGAGATGCGATCCATACCAGGTGTCTTCTCCTTCGATTTGGGGAGACAACTTTCAAGTTCAAAGGTAGATATGCAATTTTCCAGGAAGGTGGCACATCTGTCAATACAATTTGAAAGAGTAATTGGAGTCTGTTTATTTTCGATGAAAGCACTGGAAAAGTTGCTGTCAGAGAAGTACTCGCACCACATTTGTCTAAAGTAATTAGAAATATCATGTGCGTCAGTTAAAGTTCCATTGGGAGTGCAGATGGCAGAAATTTCGTTCAGGTTTGAAGTCCCATTGAGTCTGTTGATTTTGTTCCAGACAACTTTCATTGATGTATTTCTGTGAATTCCTCTCGAAAAAAGTTCGAAACTAAGTGCCTTTGATTTTCGCAATTCCTTCCTGAATAGAGCATTGGCCTTTTTGTATAATAACAAGTGATCATGATCAGGATATCTCTTAAAGCGGTGCCATAGATCCATTTTATTTTTCCTCAAAAACGAAAGCGTGTTGTTCCACCAAGGAAAAATAGCTCGTTTAAAAGAGCTGTTGGCTTGAGGAATAGAAAGATGAGCAGCCGTGCCAATCGCTTTAGACATGATAGCAGCATTATGGTTGCAGTTCCCGTTAAATGGCTTTGAATTCAGAAATGACTTGGCCTGTTTGGAGTAATTGGTCCAATCCGCTTTATCTAGTAGGAATTTGGCCTGTTTTGCCGGAGTAACAGAGAACATTGAAAGTTTAAGATCGATTATGATTGGAAAGTGATCACTATTATGTAGATCATCAAAAATAGACCAGGAAACCAAAGGAAGAAGTGAGGGAGAGCAACATGTTAAATCAACATGTGTGTGATGAGTTGAAAAGTGCGTTGGTTTTCCATCAATTAAAATGCAGAGATTGCTTTGAATGACGGCCTTTTCTAAAAAAATACCACGAGTGTTGTTCACTGTTGAGCCCCAGATGGTATTCGGAGAACTGAGAATAAATTGTAGAGTTCTTACTGAGAAAACGATTGCGAAGGTGAAATATAGAGCGAAAGCACTGTAAATTTTATGTTTAATAATATTTGTATCGCTACGGCTTGTATATTAGAGCTAAATTTATGCGTTTGTGAGATATACTTGATTTTATAAAAACACCAACTCCTTGTTTGGCATATAAATTTTGATCAGCATTGGTGAAATATCCAGTAAATGATTTGGGTGGAATAGGATTAAAAGAGGGTCTACAATGGGTTTCTTGAAGCGATATAAAGGTTGGACTGAAATCACTTACGAGTGTACGGAGTTCGTCAAAATTATTAAGAAGTCCCTTAATGTTCCATTGTAGAATTTTAAAAACTTTATTTAATTGTAGTGACATGGAGTGGAAAGTACAAGAATTTTGCGTGAATAATTTGTTCTTACCAGCAGAATAATCTGTACTTTGCGTAAATTTGAAGTGCAACGAGTGGGCACACGTGGATGATTTGAAACTGAAAGTTTATTGAGGGATGGAAGATTGGATTCATTACAGCTTGTAATTTGTTGAGTAGAGTTGAGAACTGGTGATTCTGGGGGATTTAGTTTATTAGATTTTGGCATATGTGTTGTTGTTTTAATTTTTTCAATATTTCCTGCTGTTTTCATTTTTTCAATATTATCTTTGGCGGGCAATGGAACTGATTTGACAATGTAATTTTTGGTTGTGGTAGAACAGTTTTTTCATTGGAAGGAGTTGGAATTAAAGGCTTGTTAGGTACGTTTTGCGAGGCGACAACAGCGTAGGCACTGCTTTTGCTAATTCTTTGGGTTGCAGATGGAATAATTTTCCGGTATTTGCGTCGCGCTTCACCCATGCTACAGTAATTTTCTATTTTGATTTGACTGTGAATCAGTCACCATTGTTACCAATGAAAATTGTCAAGGACGTCGACATTGCGCCAATAACACCTTTAAGACCGTTAATGGAATGTATCTGTTCGTCTGTCTATATGCGTAACTTTGTAGTATTTGTGGTAAATATATTCCCGTTAGCGGAAATGAAGGTATCGCCTAGAAATTTGCCAAAGGACTTGGAATTGATCTAAACTTTTCAAACTTGTATTTCTTCTTTAGAAGAAATAAAATCTTCTTTAGAAGAAGATAAAATCCTCTCTGTGGACATTGCGCCAATAACATAATATATATAATATATATAATATATAATCTTATATATATAATTGCATAAAAAAAGAGCATTTATCTCCCCTTGAACGTCTCCTGACTAGTTTTAGTAAATTTTTAGAGACCTGGCGTTCGATTTTCGCATATTTTTGAATATTTCCTGTTGATTCTTCGATATATTCGTACAAGTGGTTTTATATAATATATAATCTTATATATCTAATTGTATAAAAAAAAGAGCATTTATGTCCTTTGAAAATATAGGTTGCTTGTTCTTCTTCCTTTTTGGTGTAGGTTGCTTGCTCTTAACCGCATGTATGGCGCGGATATTTTGAAGGCTGTACAAATAATAGAAATATAATTATTATTAATTATATACTTTATTGTTTCTTTTGATTAATTCTGTTTGGCTAATGTCTTGTTAATTTTAGGCCAAATTAGTTTTTTAAATTTAATTAAATTATGAAAATTACATTGTATAAAGTGTCATAAATTATTGTTATTATTGTTGGTATCTATGTTAATTAGAAAGTTATGTTGATTAGAAGGACTGTAGCGGTCAAGGCTAATGAACAATTCGGCTATGAAAACTTTTTCCATGATCATTTCAAGAAGGTAAACCGCCTAGCCGGTTCGGGCTTGTTTCCTCACGCTCTGGAATGTTCGATTCCGAAGGAAAGGCCTATAACGGTATGGTGTGCTAATGATTATTTGGGTATGTCGGCCCATCCTCGAGTTAAAAAGGCAGTGGCCGATGCTTTGGCGCTCCCAATATCATAGGTGACAAATTAGGCATCCCTTTTACAAAAGCACATCTTTGAAAAAATAACAGTATTTGTTAAATCTTTCTTTGCACTTACCAATTAGCCGCGGGCATTATTGCCCCACTGCGTATTCTAACTAACGGTGTGTTTATTTGTATATTGACTAAAGACACAACATGTATCTCAAGGGTATCCTCTGATATTACCTCATCTTTATCATTGCTGAGATTTCTTACAATGCATTTACCAGTAATCCCCAATTTCCCCCAATTTATGGGCAGTTACAAGAGCAGAGTCCATTGCTAAGTTCATCAAAACTATGACATCAAAGACATTAAATAATCTGTATAATTACATATAACCTTATGGTCATGCACATGGTAGACGATGTTTACATCCGGTTGTGGTCCGCCTTGATAATATATTTGCATATTTGAACCAACTACCAGAGTAGAGTTGCGTGGATACAATCTTAATGGAGGAAATACCTGGGAAATGAAACTCATAATGAGTTCTTGATTAACTTATTTTTAATATGTGACCCAGCTACTCACTTGTATGTCGATTGGTTCGCTGGATACTAGCACATAACCGCTACCAGCACTGAATACAATTTTTGCTTCACCCAAATTATTCGCTGTTATTATATATCTTTTAAGAAAGCAATTCAATGAAAAAATGTAAGTACAAGTTACTAACGTTAGTCTATAATTTTAACCTGGTTTCGCCAACATCTAAATTGTTTTGATCTCCCAGCTGGATGCTTAATATGTTTGCACTAAAAATTTCTTGGGACAACTCATACATTTGCATATTAAAAGGATTGATGCGTATCAAATTGTCACAAGTATCATATAATTGAATAATAGCTTTTATAGATTTGGTTCGCTCTACACGGTCTGGCGCGCGTACACGTATTTCACCAATACTAACGACTGAAATAGACAAATAGGCAGGTTCATTGGTCAAACAACGATCCACCAGTTCCAAACGAGTCTGTTGGAAAAAGTATATTTACGACAGATTGCTTATTTATCTAGCCTGATTACTTACGTGTCCAATATGCAAAGGTGTAATAACAAGTGTCCTCTCTTTGACGTCGAAATCCACATGAGCAATGCTGGGATCGGTTAGATGAAACTCGTAAAAACCGCTTCCTTGTGTCATTGGTACGCGTTCACGTCGGTTCGTTGCCAAAAACACATTGATATGATCGCTACTGAAGAAGGTGGTATTAACTGTCATAAAACGAATTTCATTTTCGATAATCGGTGTCAGGATTTCCCCAGTTTTTGGCTGCGTTTAGAAATAAATATTAATTTTTGTTTTCAAAGTTTTGATTTATCAATAGCGAATATCTTTTCTTACGTTTTTAATACCAAACGGTGACTCCTCTGAATATATGTGTTCTTTTCTTAGGATTAACTCATCATAATTTGTAACCGTGCCTTTAATGCGAAAATTTGGAGTCACTTGGTTCAAGTTGGCAACTAGTACGACTAAGTCATAAGTCAATAAAATAATATGGCGGCACATATATTTGTAGTTGTAATGCCGCCAATATGAATATAACGCAGATGTGCCGCATTTCCGTAGACGGCACAGCTTTTCAGTACACGACGCGTTCAGGAGCTTATTAGTCTCATACATTCTTTTATATATTTCAAATTTATTTATTTTTTTGGTAATTAATTTGCTGAATAATTAATATGCCACAAAATTTAATAATTTATTTTTATATGTGCCTTCACATTATATCCTGTTTGGAAGAAACACATTTCCCCTTTGAAAGTGGATGAATAACAATATTTTATTTATTATATCTATATATTTATTATGTCTACTTAGAGTCCATTACTTCATTTTTGCGGTTAGGAGAATGTTTACAATAGATATTATACAGATGATTTGAATTGGATGCAATTAGTTAATCACATTCTGGATGGGGCTCTAATAGTCAAATTAATTTTATGAATGCCCTTCTAGAGATAGTGCAAAAATCGGATGATCGAAAATATTTCCAAATTTTACTAAAAGTAATTATAATTATCAGTACAGTTTGTTAATGGAAGCCCGATTCTGCTCTTACGTTTGACTCTGTTGAGGTGTGATAAAATTGCCTACGAGTCAGTTCAAAACCCTGCATCGAAACTCTATGTTGTTAAGATATTTTATTTCTCTGGGTGGATGATCTTATTATAACATTATCAAGCTTCAACGCGGAATTTGGAATTGTCGGTTTGCCAACGTTAATGCTTCTTCATCTAGCGTAGGTAGTGCATAATTTCATCAATTAAAGTCAAAGATAGGATAGATTACAAAAGTTTCCAGTAGCACAGCAGTCGTAATATTTTGTCACGTTCTTCATTTCACATTAGCTCTCTCTCGCCTTCATTTGAATAAACGACATGATTCGATTTTGAATTCCTTCTTTAGTATTTGAAATTAGGCTGACTTGTTTGTGAGAAAAGCACGCATCAAAAATAATAAGTGAAATGTCTTCTGCGATATATTCTCACATTTTGAAAGATTCATTCGAGAATTTCTTGGCTTAATTGCTCAGTGAGCTTGAACGTTTTGCGCCACGATCCCTCCAGTTTTATCTTCAACTTAGTAAAATAGAGTATGTGATTCTTGGCTACAGCCAAATGCTGAAGTTCGAAAGAATCTGCCGCAGCCACGGCCAAAAGAATATTGGCGAAATAGTCGCCTGTCCGTCATGGCAACCCTTTCCCAATCTCAACCACTTTCTCAATTCTCGCCCACCATCCCTCTCTCTTTAATTACTCCCCAAATTTCCTCCTTTATTAACCCTCTCAACAGACCTTTTAAGAAGCTCTTTAGTTGACTCAATATCCTATTCATTCCGTGGCTTTTTTACATAAATGTAAAGACGGCCCTGTCAACTACCTTGGTATGGAAGAGTTGGCATCCGCATTTGCAATATTTATAAACTGGCAAAAAAAACCTACCGTTAAAATGAATACTCCTTATATTAGCCGTGTTCACAAATCGCAATCCATCACTTCAATGCTTTTGAGATTCACAAGCAGATCATTTCGAATAACCAAAGTGCAGTTTTCCCATCCCCCGATTTTCATGTAAAATGATGAATATCTATTGATATTTTAAATCACCTGAGTTAACTTCGTCAACCGCGTAAAATATTTAAAATGACAAGCAGACAGGAATACGGAGATGGAAGATTTAACATTCAACAATAAACATGTGTTTTGGCAATGAATTTTTATTATTATTGATTCTTCGTGTTATATAAGAAATGTAATTTGTATTCAGAAACATCAGTGTTCCGTTTAAAGACAAAATTTAAATAAATGAATAAAAACCAAAAAAAAAAAAGAAGAAAATAAATACAAGGCGGAACTGGCATCGTTTAGTTTATAGGATTTAGTACGTAGTTCTACTTTAAAGTTATTTAAAATAACATTTAAAAAAAATGTAAAAAATGTAATATTATAATATAAATAAATTTAAGTTAAAAATAGTTGATCGCTGTTTCATTTTTATTTCACTAATAATAATCAAGAGATATGTATTTATATATGACCAAATTTTTTTATTTCTTTTTTTTGTAGAGTCGTACTAATGTACGACTATGTACACCTTCTGGACGCGCACTTCCAAAAAATGGCGACCTGGTGACTGGTCGATTAAGCGCAAGCGATGGGGAGTACTTGCGGCTGCTCACGGGCTACGGAATAGCCCAATACATACGTGAGCACCTAAGATGCCAGGCATGCCTTAAGGACCTAACCCTAAAGAAAGAAGACGTCTGCGAAGAAGAGAACGATGACATTGTCACCAAGGACCCAAAAGACAATGGCATCCTCACTAGCGAATACCTTGAGGCGGAGTTCCCGAAAGAAGACGTACATGAAGCATTCAAAAGTGCCTTCGACATCTTGTACGCGGTTATGAAGCAACATATGCCGGAGCGGGGAATAGGCAAGCGCGTGCAGGCGACCATAAGGGCACGGCTGGCCTTTTTCCGGACAGCAGGATCCTACAGTAGCGGAGACAATCAACGAAGGAATCTACTATCATATATTATACATAATATGGTGCTAAGCGGGAAAAATTGGAGCGAGCCGCCGGTTGAGAATATACTTCGTTCGAAGCACTTAGAAGATAATTCGAATGTAATAAAAATAATGCATGAACATGTCTTGAATTCAATGCTATTATTATATCATTATATTGCTTAAACTACATTTTCATATTATGTTATAATATATTAGTTTATGTATACTTATAATAAATTATATTATATATATTTA